GAGGAGGATTTTCCCCGTTGGCGGTCATCGATGTGGCTGTGGGTGTCAGGGTAGTAGTTAGTGCATCCCCGACTCCCGCACCTAGCTACCCCTGCCCGCCTTGTCTTCAGTCAAGTCTCCAGTTGTGTCTCCTGTGGTGTGTAGTCTCGTGCTCCCGGACGTCGAGGCTGTGCCCCGGCCTGTACTGTGTCTGGCAGCTGTGTCTTCGGCCCGTGTCGACGTGCACGCTGTAATGTCTCCTGCGGTGTATGGTCCTGTTCCCCGGGTTAATGAGGCTGCGATATTGAGTGTACGCTGCTGCATGGAGTTGCACGGTCAACCAGAGGTTCTGCTACAGTGCCTCCTGGCGGGGGTGATAGTTCTGACGACCTGCGACCTCTGTCCAAGCGTTTGCAGCGAGCTTTGAGTCTGTCTCCGCCTCATGGTGAGGCCTGGGCCGACGTCTGGGATTTTGGGGACTCCGGGAGTTCGTCTTCTGTGGATGATGATGTGGGTGACGATGTTGGAGTGCCTGCGGCTCCTGTGGGCCGTGTTGCAGCGGTGGTGGGATTGTTGCCTGGCCCTGGTCCTGTATCTTCTCCGGCTGCCTCTGCATCCTCGGTTTCTGGTTCTTCGATTTAAGAGGTTGTGGCACCGGCCGAGGTTGCAGGAGAGGGTGGGGACCTGGTGCTGGTTCTTAAGAAAGATTCAGTTCCGGCGGCCCCGGTGCCTCTGGCGTCCATGTCTGTTCCTTCTGCACATGTGCCCTTGGTGATGCCGACCGCTGCGCGGCTGCCCTCTGCCCAGCCGTCCATTGTTACTCCGCCCCCTGTGGTGTCGGCCCCTGCACGATCGCCCTCTGTGATTGTGTCCCCTGAGACTCTGCTCGCTATGTTGCCGCCCGGCTTCTGTGCTTCAGTCCCATGTGGTTCCACCTTCTGTACCGAAGAGCTCTGTGCGGCCTCTTCCAGTGACTTCCGCCCCCGTGGTGGAGGGCGCCAAGCTGGATGTTCCTGACTTTATGCATCGACCGCGAGGATCACATAGTCAACGTTTACACGTGTGTGGAATTGTGGGCTCGGTGGGATGCCTATAGGAAGAAGTACCTATGGCGTCTATATCCGGATAAATATGAGGATGATTAACTGTGTGTGGTTCTTGTTTTGTGTTGCTTTATTTCTTTATTTGTTTTGATGTGTTGTGAGCTAGGAGTTAATTTTTCACGTGTTTCTTGTGCCTGGTTCTTGTTGGGCTATAGTGCTCTGGTGTTTTTTCTTTTCTGACTATTTCATTGTTACCTATGTTTTTGTTACTATTTTGTGATTTGTACGAGTTTTGTTTGTGTGTTTTCTTGTTCTAACGTTTGTTCCTATGTTTCTTGCCTTGACAATGTGATTGATGATGATGTTTTTCTATTGTTGTATTTGCGTTTTTCCAAATAAAAAGAAAAAAATGACTTTCTGTACCACATCCCAGAGTAAGGTGCCGGCCAATGACTGTCTGTACCACACCCCAGGGGTAAGGTGCCGACCAATGACTGTCAGTAGGGAGTGTTCGCCTAGCTCTGGGCGGAGGTGGACGTGTCGCCTGTGAGCTCCTGGTTTGCTGACCCGTGGTAGTTTGTGTGTGTGAGCGGACCCTTAGGGCCGTGGCGGCTGCAGGGATGGCGGCCCCCCTCCCCCCTGTGAAGCGGAGAGATACCATTGGCCTAGAATTTACTGGCCCAGCGTCTTACCCGGCAGTTGAAGTGGTGATGATCGACATGTTGCGGGTGGATGTGGCGTCTGTGTGCAGCGTTCAACTTGTATCCGAGCATCGAGCTGTTATGAAATTCTGCTCCACGGCTGTGTATCATGACTTTGTGGACCGCTATGACGGGAGAACATTTACTCTGCCTGAGGGTGGTGGTTCGGTGGTAGTGTCGGACAGGTGCAGTGAGACTACCTATGTGGCGGTTCATGGTGCTCCCTTTGAGTTCCCTGACTCTCTTCTCCAGGGTCATTTTACCCGATATGGGCGGGTCTTGAGTGTCCGAATGAATGCAGTCTCCTCCGGGCAGTGGAAGGGTATCCCGAATGGGACCTGCACTGTGGCGCTGCGCTTGAAGGACTCCATCCCTTCGTCTCTCCAGCTTCTGGGCTTCATGGTACGCATGTTCTATGGGGGTCAGCCCCGGACGTGTTTCCGGTGCGGACTCTCGGGCCATCAGGCTGCGGGATGTGATGCGAGCTGGGTTGGGCCAGTGAACCTCTTCAGGGAGGAGGACTTTCCCCCGTTGGCAGTCCCGGACCTGTCGGAAGGTGCTGCTGTGGACAGTGTTACTACCCAGTCCTCTGTGGCCCCGTTGCCGGTCTCTGATGCCAGCCTCGATGTGGCTGTGGGTGTCGGAGTGGAAGGAAGTGCATCCCCGGCTCCCGCACCTCAGCCTCCCCTGCCTGCCTCGTCTCCAGTCGAGTCTCCAGTTGTGTCTCCTGTGGTGTGTGGTCTCGTGACTCCGGACGTCGAGGCTGCGCCTCGGTCTGTACTGTCTCCGGCAGCTGTGTCTTCGACCCGTGTCGACGTGCACACTGTGATGTCTCCTGCGGTGTGTGGTCCTGTTCCCCAGGTTGTTGAGGCTGCGATGTTGAGTGATCGTGCGCTGCGGGGAGTTGCACGGGCAACCAGCGGTTCTGCTACGGTGCTTTCTAGCGGAGGTGATAGTTCCGACGATCTGCGACCTGTGTCCAAGCGTTCGCGACAAGCTTTGAGTCTGTCTCCGACGTCGGGGAATTTGAGGACTCCGGGAGTTCGTCTTCTGGGGATGATGATGTGTGCGACGCTGTTGGAGTGCCTGCAGCTCCTGTGGGTCGTGTTGCAGCAGTGATGGGTCCTGTGGTGGGGTTGTCGCCTGGCCCAGGTCCGGTGTCTTCTCCGGCTGCCTCCGCGTCACCGGTTGCTGGTTCCCTGGGTTGGGAGGTTGTGGCACCGGCCGAGATTGCGAGAGAGGGAGGGGACTTGGTGCCGGTTCTTACAAATGCTTCTGTTCCGGCGGCCTCCGTGCCTCTGGCGTCCATGTCTGTGCCTTCCACGCCTTTGCCCTCTGCTCAGTCATCCTTTGTTACTCCGTCCCCTGTGGTGTCGGCCCCTGCACCATCGCCCTCTGTGCTTGCGTCCCCTGCGACTCCGCCCGCTCAGTTGCCGGCCTGTGTCCAGCCGACTCCTGTGCTTCAGTCCCGTGTGGTTCCACCGTCTGTATCAAAGTCCTCTGTGCGGCCTCTTCCCGTGCCTACCGCCCCCGTGGTGGAGGGAGCCGAGCTGGAGGTTCCTGACTTCATGCATCGACCACGAGGGTCACGTAGTCACGTTAACGCGCCTATGGAAATGTGGGCACAGTGGGATGCCTATCGGAAGAAGTACCCGCGTCGTTACTATCCGGATAAATATGAAGATGATTGACTGTGTGTGTGGTTCTTGCTTTGTGTTGCTTCTTTCTTTCGTTGGTTTATTGAGCTATGTGTTACGGGTTCCTTTTTTTCCCCTGTTTTCTTACCTAGTTCTTGCTGGGTTATAATGCTCTAGTGTTTTTTCTTTTTTTTTTTGACTATTTCATTGTTACCTATGTGTAAGATTCCATTTTTGTTTATGCTTATTTACGATTTGTTCTCTTATCTGTGTCCTATATACTGTGTTATATGTTCCAATGTTGGTTTGTGCTATACCGATTCTTTATTTTTTATTTTGATATTTTACTATGTCTTGCAAATGTGTTCTGTTTCCTTTGTTCTATGTACTGTGCTGTGTATTGCTTTGTTGTATTCCCTTGGTAATTTCCTGCATTTTCTTTACTATGTTGTATTACCATATTCTGTTATTGTGTTCTCGATTCTGTGGTGTGTTGTGTAATTTTGTATGTGTATTCCTTGTTTATATTTTACCTCTGGTTTTATTGTGCTCCTTGTGCGCTATTGTAATTACTGACGCTTTTGGCACGCCCCATCTGGGTAGTGCTGCTTTTGTTTTTGTGTGTATGTGTTCTTATGAGTTTTATGTTATTCTTTGTTTTCACTTTTGTGTTATGTTGATCGGTGTTACTTGTTATCTGTGTTGTTGTTATTCTGTGTTCTTTGTTACTCTGCTTTACTGTTTATATGGTTACTGTACGCTGTAATTGCTGTTTTAATAATAAAAAGAAAAAAAATGACTGTCAGTACCACATCCCAGGGTAAGGTGCCGACCAATGACTGTACCACACCCCAGGATAAGGTGCGGACCTGTGACTGTGTGTACCACACCCCAGGGTAAGGTGCCGACCAATGACTGTACCACACCCCAGGGTAAGATGCCGACTATAATTAAGTAACCATGTTGATGGTAGTGGGTGTTGTCTATCAGTCTAGATAACACTGCCTTGCGTTCTCTGCTGACGCTAGACAAATCTGTGGTTGATGTTCGTTTGTCTAACTTTGAAAACCTTCACTCTGCGACCTTACCTATTGATGCTGATGCTGTTTAAGATGAGAAAACCTACACATTACCACGCTTGTATTCTCAATAAAACATGTTAATGTTTACGCTTCCTTACATAGTGCACATGTAAAGATTCATTAATTGTTAGGTCCGGTTTTGGTGAGATCGCTGCACAGTTCCCTCGTTCTCACACGTAATGACCAGTGACCCGCACACTATAGATACCAGCCACTAAAATGCGTCCTCCAATTACAGGTTATTGTCCTCTAGAGTTAAGGTTTTTACACTTATTATGGAGTAAACCCCTTTAATTTAAACGTTTTTTCAAGCCTGAAAAACAGCGAGATTTTGGGAAACAACCCGAGTTAATGTTAACAATTATTTAGACGAAGCATTCTACTGTTCTTCCTTAACATAACTTTTGTGCCTCCTTTTTCTCTATGTCAACTTACAGCTGTTTTTTTATTAGCTGTAAAAGATAGACTAAGGTTAATTAGTACACAGAATTGGTATCACTAGATGGAGGAGAGCACTTCATTAGCAGAGTTGGTAACACTGGGGTGTTGACTTGGGTGGAGCCTCAGCCAATGACAGTTCATATGTGTTGCTTGTGTTGGTGTGAGCTGTTGTGCTGCTCCTCCTCCCTCCATCAGTGTTACCTTCAGTGTCAGAAGGTGAGCTGTAGTGTATAGACGTATTTAAATTATTTTTCCTCAGGGAAGACTATAGTTAAAGTGTGAAAATAATTTAGGGACTGTATAACTGTTTTAGTAACTTCGTATAACTACAGTCTATTTGCCAAATGCAGTAGTTTTGTTGAAAGAGTCAGCAGAGTGTATTTGCACTGTATTTGTGAAAGATGCTGTGATTGGTGTAATTGTGCAATATGAGTAGAGAAATTCACAAATGTTTGTAGTTATTGCCGACGTTGTGAGGAGGGAATATAATGTTGGAGGGACTGTGAGACGAGCAGCTCTTACTTCTCATCGCAAATATGGTTCCTGCACGCTATAAATACTACCTTCCTTGCCATGTTGTATTCTGCTCTTTGTAGAGCAACTCGTTGGTGTTTGGTGTCGTGCAGGAATAGCATAACAGTACAGTGGATGGCACATTTAACCAGAGAGAATGCAATATTGATCCATCTCCATTATGGTTTAAATTGGCTTCTGTGCAGACTTCCAATAACGGTGCGTTGAATTGGCATATTTTTAAGAAATTGCTGGTAACACGCCCCGCCAATGGCAGGGAGTTTGTATTACATTATTTAATCATTGAGGCTATCTGGATTTATTGCAGACATTAGGCCACTTCTTAACATGATTTGTGTATTTAAAATGTATACCACCTCCTTCTTAGTCCGTCGGCTTGTGATTGAAGGTGGACTTTTAAGTTTTGTGAAGGTAATATAGCAACTGTGTAGTTGTAAGTAGGCTAAGATTTTACCACCAGGTTATGGCAGTCTTAGTAAAGTTATATTTACACCTAATGCATCGTGCATATCGACCGTTGTAAGATATCTTTAATACATAATTACTAGGTTTAAAGATTAAAAATTATTAGTGCGGCATTTGTGTGATCAGATCAGATATTCCTTAAAAGTATTTCGGATTAAAGTGTAAACTTGTATGACATTATTTCAGATTATACTGTGCTTTTGAGTCTTACACAGGCAGGTGTTGCATGGTTCAGTATGTGGTGTGGTAGGTCTGGTGACTTTAGTTTTCTCTTCCTAAACATCCCCACCCCAAGAGTGGCGACTGGTGGCGCTGGTTACGCTAGATTCCCTATTCTAAAATTATTTTTTTGAAATGACACTTTAGTTTTTTTGGTAGAGTAGTTCTATTTACACAATTTGAATTGGAAAGTGCAGGAACCGTTGAAGCTTTGATGCCTCCCCGAACTACATAGTCTACACATCTTCCATAATATTCCCCACCTAATACCCTTGCCAAGTAATATTGTTCAAACCCCCCCCCCTTTCCCGGGGTCACGAACACACGGGTCATCGCCCGACACAGCCCTGACCACCAGTCATGTCACCCATGCTCAACCCTTCATCATCTTTGCCATCAGTTTGTAAACATGTTTTACCTCGCTGTTGTAATGCCTGACATATACCAGGTATTTTAAAGAGTTGACTGCCATAACGACCCGTGTAGTTGTACCTAGGAAGATGACTACGAAGCTGGCTAGTGGTCACCGGGTGGAGGCCATGAGCGAGGAGTGGCTGGCCAGGATGGAGGAGGAACAGACGCTCTACAACCATGGTATGATCCGCCTCAGGCCCGGAGGCTATCTCTACCCGACGCTCTTCACCAAATATGCTGACACCATCTACAACTTCAAGGTGTGTTGTCATTGTTACTCTGACCCTTGAATATTGGTTATATACTTGGTCCGAGGGGGAGGGGGGACTGTACTTGGATCCCTCGCCCCTGGTATATATGTGGGTAACAATTGTATACACTTGTTCTCTCTAATGTATACTACAATAAGTTTCTCTTCAGTTCACTGAAGGTGACGTACTTGTGATGGGAATGCCCAGGTCTGGGACGACCTGGATGTTGGAGTTGGTGTGGACGATGCTTCACAACCCCGACCTCAACAACCAGAGGGCCGACCTGCCCATCTTCATCAGAGCACCGCATATAGAGTATGACATTCTTATTAGTTTATCAGTGTGATTGTCTTCGTAACGCCTGGGATCAGTGGTATAATAACTATTGTAGTCTGATTGCGCCTAGTAAATCGGTAGGATTTTTTTATTTTTAATTAGTGCTTAGCTCATTAAAGTTCTCAGAGCCCCGATTTAGATAGCTTTTCTATGGCAACTACTTTATTGTAATGATAGTTCAGAAAGTGGCAGTAAATTCGCAAATTTGTGGACGTACCTTAGACAAAATTCTTGTAATTTTGAAGACCAGATAATATTAGCAAAGATCTTACTAATGTTCTTAAATATTTCTCGTAAATAATTTTTAACTATTTTATATCTCGGCAAAAAAAAAATGGCATTTTTGTATTTTTTGGATGAAATTTCATAAACCGGTTACACTGCTGCTTAACATTGCACCGGATGTGGATAAAATGATGTTGGCTGCTTAAGATATTTTAATCAGACCGGGTGCCAGTATATCTTTTGGCATTGCCTGTGTTAGTACTTTACGTCTTAGACCCCCTCCCCGCACAGCTCGTTGTCGCCGTGTGGGGGCTTAGTGGACGGCTGCCGGAGTGTGATGCTCCTTGGGACAGTCGTCTGTCCTTTTCTAGCCTTGTGCTCCTGCTGCCGTCCTCTCCAATTTTGCTGGGCATCTTTTCCTTTTCCTTCTGTTTCGTTTTTCTCCCCCCTCTTCTCCTATCTGCTTGCCGTTTCCTGCCGACCTTTTGCTCGTTCTGGTTCTTCCATGGACTTTTTCTATTTTGACGCCCGGGTGCTTGAGGAGGCATACTCATGCACCCGTAGAACTGCAGTACCCGATGTCGAGAGCGAGGGGAACCTTTTATTGTCAATCCCCACTTCGTCACTGAAACCGATCTCGACGGACTGTCGGTTTCTTAAGGTGGCGTTTGTGGGGCGTATACTCACGACGCACCCCTAGGAGGCCCCGACAAGATCGGCGATAGCTTCTTGTTGGGTGTCCTGCCTCTAATTGTGGCTCCATGGTGGGTGTGGAGGCACATTCGTGAGTGAATTCTTCATTTCGTCAATATAACCCCTGTTTCGGCTGCTTCTGGCTTACCTTCTCAGGCTCGTGGGGTGGGCGACCAAGCCCCCGAGTCGGTCCGTATTGGAAGACCGGGCTCTGTAGCCTCCGCTGCATTGGGCCCCGACCTTGCTCCTCCTTTTGCCTCTCTGACTCCTTCCCCTGGCTCCCCTCCCTCCTCTGTGGTTGGGTCGAGCCCCAAGCCCCCAGTGGTGACTACCTCGTCCCCTGGCGCGGCTCCTTCTCTAGTTGTAACTACTGCGCCTTTTAACCCCTCTCTCTCTGGGGGTTCTCACCGCCGTCCTCGTCACGGCCGCCCTCGCTCGATTCCTTCCAGTTCTGCTACCTATCAAGCCTTGTTTGGTCCCGCTTCGTGGGCCAAATATTTTGATCTCCTCCCTCTTGATTCTGCGCCTCCTGACGATTTCTCCCTTCATCGACATCTCATTGATTCCGTGGATGCCTCCATTACTTTCAACCCCACTCGTCTCGGTACACGTGTCGTTGCTGCTCCTTCTCAGGATGCTGCTTCCCGCTTGGCTGCCTTATCCTGCCTTGGCGAGACCCCCGTTCGGGTCTCGAAGAACGCTCAGTTGAATGCCAGTGTTGGCACTATTTTGCTCCCGCCCCATGTTGCAACCGGTGTTCGGGACCTGCGCGACTGCCACGACGATATTCGCCATATCCTCGCTGCCCAGGGCCATTCTATTCTCCAGGTGGACACGTTTACTCGTCCCCCTCGTGGTAGTCGCCGTCAACCCCTCCGGGTTGTGAAGATTACCTTTGATGGTAGGACCCTTCCACCCTCTGTCATTCTTGCTGGTGCCAGGTGCTCTGTCCAGGAGTACATTCCTTCTCCTCGGCTCTGCAACAAGTGCTGGAGGTTTGGGCATGGTGCCCTCCGCTGCTCCGGGACTGTCTCTCTCTGTCCTTTGTGTGGTGGCGAAGGTCACTCTAAGTCGGAGTGCACTTCTCCCCAGGCTCGTTGCCTCAACTGCGGTGAGGCCCATCCTACCTTCTCCCGTGCGTGTGTCCATTACAAGCTTGAGGCAGCCGTCCTCAACCTGAAGCACCGGGAGCGTTTATCTTTTCCTGAGGCGAGGCGCCAGGTTCGCCGGCTCCCGCCTTATGCTAATATCTCTTATGCTCGCGTGTTGCGCTCTTCCTCTCCTCGTCCTTCCCGCCTTCCTCAGACTCACAACCGTTTCCGGGCCTTGGACCCTGATGCGCCCACTGCCCCCTCCTCTGTTCCTTTGGGTTCTCTCCCGAAGGATCCTCCTCCTGGTCCTCTGTCTGGGGTTCCCCTTCCTTCTACCCGGTCTGTCGTGTCTTCTGTGTCTTCTTCCTCGTCCCCCTCCGATCCTCCTTCCCATCCTCTTCCTCCATCTATTGGCTCTCCCCACCGCCTGTCGGTGCGGGCGGATGTCCATCGCTCTCCTAACGGCCGTCGTGTGTGCTCTCGTTCGGCTTCTCCTGTTGAGACACTGGAATCCGTTGCCCGGTACGTAGTTGCTGGGACACCGGTCTCTTTAAGTCAGAAGCGTAAGCCTGGCTCCTCTCCTTCCTCTTCCCCGGTGGGTAAGAAGGCTTCGCTTTCTTCCTCAGCTCCTCCTTCTGGCTCTGTTGCTCCTTCCCCTCCCGTTTCAGTGCTTGCGCCCCCTGTTCCTGCTATGGAGGTTTCTTTGGCCCCTGCTTCCCTTTCGGTTGCTGCTCTTGCTGGGGTGCGCTCCCCTCTTTCTACTCTCCCTCCTCCTGCTGCTGTCCTTGACGGCTCCTCTCCGTTGTCTCCTAATCTTCCTCCTCCTCCTCCAGACCCTGCCCGCCCACCTCTGCTCTGTTCTCCCGTTTCCTTCCCTCCGTCTTTGCTCAGTTTACCCATGCCCCCTAACCCTGACTTTGCTGACTCTAATCCCGACCCTGATATTCTTTAACGTGCTCTGTTGCTCTTTCGCCTTTGTTTCTTCCTTGTTCTCTGTTTTTGTCCTTTCTCTTCTCGTCGTTGTCTATTCTTCAATGGAACGTTAGAGGTTATTACGCCAATTTCCTCGAACTCCAACTTCTGATTTCGCGGTTTTCGCCCCTTTGTGTCTGTCTCCAGGAGCCAATGCTTGGTGCTCGTCCGGGTCGTTTTCGTGGCTATTCCTTTCTCTCCCCCCACCCCCCCCCCAGCCATTGCTGGGGCTTCTAATTCTTCTGCTCTTTTGATTCGGGCTGATGTTCCCTTTGTTCCTTTACTTTTTCCTTCGCCTCTCCATTGTTCTGCTGCTCGTATCTTTGTGGGGAAATGGTACACAGTTTGTTCCATTTATCTCCCCCCGAGTGTCCCGCTCTCTCTTCCTGATTTGAAACACCTCCTGGACTCCTTGCCGGAGCCTGTGCTCCTGCTGGGTGACTTCAATTGTCGTCATTCTCTTTGGGGTGACGTTCTGACGAATACCCGGGGTCGCCTCCTTGAGCCGTTTCTCCTCTCTTCTTCCCTGTCTCTTCTGAATTCTGGTGAGCCCACTCATTTGGACTCTCGGACTCGCACCCTTTCTTGTCTTGATCTTTCTCTCTGCTCTTCTTCTCTTTACTTAGATTTCACGTGGCAGGTTCTTGATGACCTCCATGGAAGTGATCATTTCCCCATCCTTGTTTCCTTTTTCTCTTTTCGCCCTTCCCTCTCTTTCCCTAGGTGGCAGTTTGCTAAGGCAGACTGGACCCTGTTTACCCTCAGTGCTGCTCTCCCTGACCTCTCCCTTCTGCCTCTCTCTCGCGCTCTCCTCCTTTTTTATGACACTGTCTTCAACGCTGCCCTCCGCTCTATTCCTCGCTCTTCCTCTCGGGGTCCACGGAAATGCGTTCCCTGGTGGAATGCGGACTGTGCTCGGGCTGTCCGCTGTAAGCGTGCAGCCTGGAAGAGGCCCCGCCGTAGGCAGACGACCGATTTTCTTTTCTTTCGGAAAGCGAGTGCGGTTGCCCGTAGGGCCATCCGTACGGCTAAACGTGACTGTTGGGCATCTTATGTCTCAACAATTACGTCCGAGACCCCTCTGGCCCAGATCTGGAAGCGTATCCGCAAGATAGCGGGTAAGTTCGTTCCCGATGTTTCACCGGTCCTTCACCTCCATGATACTCTTGTGGCGGACCCGTTGCAGGTCGCTTCCGAACTGGGTTCCAACTTTTCTTCTGTTAGCTCTGGTCTTCATCTTCCCCAATCTTTCCTTCTTCATAAACCTGTCCTTGAGTCTCGTCCTTTAGATTTCTGCACTCATCTTCAGCTTCCCTATAATGATCCCTTCTCTCTCTCTGAACTTCGTTCTGCCCTGGCCCTCTGCGGTTCTACGGCGGCGGGCTCCGATGGTATTCATTATGAGATGCTTCGCCATCTCCCTCCGAGCACGTCTCAGTATTTGCTGAGTCTGTATAATCGGATCTGGGAGTCGTCGTCAGTCCCTGAGGACTGGCTCGATGCCGTTGTCCTCCCTGTTCGCAAACCGGGGTCTCTGGGTACTTCCCCTAAGGACTTTCGCCCTATTGCTCTCACAAGTTGTGTCTGCAAACTCTCTGAACGTATGGTTAACGTTCGTCTGATGTGGTTCCTGGAACACCATCACCTCCTCTCCCCTTCTCAATTTGGTTTCCGCAAGTGCCGCAGCACGACAGATGTCCTGGTGAACTTGGAGGTCTATATTCGTACTGCTTTTGCTGCGAAGACCTCCGTTGTTGCCGTCCTTTTTGACCTAGAAAAGGCTTACGACACCACTTGGCGTTATCATATCCTATCTCAACTTCATTCTTTTGGCCTTCGTGGTCATCTCCCTCTCTTTCTCCGCAGCTTCCTCTCTCGTCGTTCCTTTCGGGTGCGCCTTGGTACCGCTCTCTCTCCCTCTTTTCAGCAGTACGAAGGTGTGCCCCAGGGTAGTGTTCTGAGCAGCACTATTTTTCTTGTTGCCCTCAATGGTCTTCTTTCCTCTCTTCCTTCTGGTGTCTTCTCCGCTCTCTATGTCGATGATCTTACCCTTTGTTGTCAGGGTGATGATTCGCCTCTCCTTCAACGCCGGCTTCAACTTGGAATTGATGCCGTGTCGTCTTGGGCCACAGGTCATGGCTTCAAGTTCTCTACTTCTAAGACTTGTGCCATGACTTTTACGCGGAAACGGGTTGTTCTTCGTCCCTCTTTGTCACTTTATGGTCATCCCCTTGAATACAAAGATTCCGCGAAGCTTTTGGGGTTATTCCTTGACACTCGTTTGTCTTGGTCTCCCCATATCTCTTACCTCCGTGTTGAGTGCTCTAAGGCCCTTACCCTCCTTCGGGTCTTGTCCCATTCTTCTTGGGGGGCAGATAGGCGCACTCTCCTTGCTTTACATTCCTCTCTCGTCCTGTCTAAGCTCGATTATGGTTGCCCTGCTTACTCGTCTGCTTCTCCTTCTACTCTTCGCCGTCTTGATGCTTTGCACCATACTGGGTTGCGCCTCAGTTCTGGTGCCTTCCGTTCGACTCCCATCCTTAGCTTGTATGTTGACACTGGCTTCCTGTCTCTCCAGGACCGCCGTGATCGCTACTGTCTTCGCTATCTTGCGCGGTCCTTGCAACATCCTTCCTCTCGCCTCTGTCGTGCTTTAACTTTTACCCCTCCTGCGGTTCCTGTTCCTCTTCACCACCTCCCTCTTTCTGTCCGGTTATCTCGCCTACAGGATTCTCTCTCCGTTCGTATTTCTGATGTTTCTCCTCGTGTTGTTCCTTCTTTGCCCCCGTGGAGGGTCCCTCTTCCGCGGTTTTGTACTTCCTTGACCCGTATCACTAAAGCTTTTACCCCTCCTACGGTTCTAAAACGCCTTTTCCTCGAGCACTTTTCTTCTCACTCCCGCTCCGTTTCTGTCTTCACCGATGGGTCTAAGTCAGCGGACGGTGTTGGCTACTCTGTTGTTTTTCCTGATCGCACTTGTATGTGTCGCTTGCCTCCGGAGACTAGCATCTTTACAGCAGAACTTTATGCTATTCTCTATGCTCTTCGTCTCCTGCTTTCTCGTTGTCAGTCTTCCTTTGTGGTTGTTGTTGACTCTCGTAGTGCCCTCATGGCTCTCGGGTCCTTTAATCCGGTTCATCCAGTAGTTGTCGAGATCCAGCATTGGCTGCTTCTCGTTCACAGTAAATTTAAGTCGGTTGAGTTTTGTTGGGTTCCCAGCCATATTGGTGTGTCTTTAAATGAGCGTGCGGATGCTGCCGCTAAGGAAGCTGTCCGCTCTTGTCCCATCTCTCGTAAAGGCATTCCGTATTCCGACTTTTACCCAGTTATCCATTCCTCAGTCCTTACCCGTTGGCAGGCTTCTTGGTTGTCTGTTACTGGTAACAAGCTACGTACTCTTAAATGTTGTGTTTCCTCGTGGCCGTCCTCCTTCCACCGTAACCGGCGGTGGGAAACAGCTCTGGCGAGGTTGCGTATTGGCCATACTCGCTTAACCCATGGTCACTTGATGGAGCGCCGCCCTGCTCCTTATTGTCCTAGTTGCATTGTCCCTCTTACGGTCGTGCATGTCCTTCTTGAATGTCCTGACTTCCAGGACGAGCGTGTCTTGCTTTCCGACCGCCCCTCGCGGTCACCTGTCCCTCGATAGAATTCTTGGTGACTCGGATACTTTTGATATCGTTCGCCTTATGAGTTTTTGTTCTTGTATTGGCATCCTTGGTGATATTTAGCGCCCTCTGATTATTTTGCGTATTTGATGGTGCTACATAGCCTTCCCTGTTTGGTGCCTTCTTTTGATAATTACTTACTTACTTACGTTCTTAGACTAGACCCAAGTTGGTTTGTTCAACGGTTGTTCAGATTAGTGCATGCAATTTTTTTTTTTTGGGGGGGGGGGGGCGGGGAGGGGAATTATCTGGGGACATAATGGTTATTAAGACTATATATAACTTGGGAGGGGTCAAGACGCATTTTTGCGAGAGTTTGTACTTTTCTGTAATACAGCCTCGCCCCAGCTTGATTGTGAAATTAGATAATGCATTAGGCTCAAATACCGGTTACCTTCTACTTAAGTCTTGTTTCACTGCATCATTTCTTCCGCCTCTAGAGTTGTGTGAACATTGTTGCTAATTGTTATTAGTGGGGAAAAAGGGGGTTGGGGATTGTAAATTCATTAACAGATTTATATTTAAGGCGGTGCTGGGCGAAGAGATTTTTTATAAAATGTTTGGTGGACAGAGGGGCTGGCGGACTAAATACTAGTGGTTGCCAAAAATAAATTTAACCTATAAATAACTTGCCGTCATAAATTTTTGATACGTTACTACTGGTTGGGATGCTTACCCTGGCTACACTGTTAAATGCATTTATAAAGTCACTTGAGCCTATTATCTTAAGCTTTAGCGACTAACTAAATTGTACCAATGTTGGTATATATACCAAATGGGTATTTGTACCAGTTATCTTCATGATTGGTCCAAATACTTTGGCTCCATACTGTAATTACATAAATTCGGGTCTTGCGTGTGAAACAATCGCTTCGGATGTCTTGTGTAAATATTTCTCTCCTAACACTGTGTTTGTGTGTATGTGTGAGCTAAATTAAAGACTCGGGTGATTAGTTCTCTTAATCATTGTTGGATAATCCTGTTTACCATTGATGCCAAACTGTCCTAAATTTACTTTTCACTCGCACACTACATTGTTTACAGTAAATGGTACTTTTGACAAACCCATCCCTCCCTGTATTGGGAGTACTTACAGGAAGGATGAGGACAATAGCACATGCAGACGTACAACTTGATAAGAAAAGTAGGAATAGATACTATTGAATTTAGAAAAAAAAAATTTCTACTTTAGTTGCTAAGACGACTAACCTTACCTAAATCTATGTTTAATTAAATGTGCTATACTAGGCATTGGAATATTTTTAAATATTTTCGGACTAAAAAGTGACTAGTGGAAAAAATCTACCTAATTGCTTAGAACGTCAATCTTTGTAATATGGTGCACATGGTTTTTGTACGTATCTTAATAGGAGAATGGGTTGGACACAATAAGTAGTATAAGGTCTGATATTCTGTGGCAGAATATAGGGCATGGGTATAGGTCATATTAGTTGTAAAGTGAAGCCTAATATTGTTTTAAGATGGTGATAGTTTTGTGACAATTAGCTTTTGGTATAAATGTCTACGTAACCTAGTTTGCGCACGTGATGTTAATGCGTGCTTGACTGTGAAGTTGTTGCCCTCAACAGTTAAGTTTAAAAAAAATCATGTGATTAGTTAAGAACCATTCGGGTATCAGTTGCAATGTATGAAGGATCCTATATTTGTGCTGCTGGATGGGTTTATATAAAGAAATGTTACCAGAACTTATCGCATAACTGATGAATGGTTTAAGAAACGACTTAAATGTATTAATTCTGAAGCAATAAATTAATTCTAGTTCTGGTAAAGTTTAGTAATTGTAGTAATAACATTCCAGCTTTGACATGATGCTTGACAGAAAGACCATAAGAAGCACTGTTGAGAATCCTCAGCAGATGACAGAAATGTTTCTTCAAATGTGTCCAGGGAAGAAGGTAGAAGACGGAGTGTTTCTGCAGATTAGCGAGGCTTTACCTGCTCCTTGAGTGATGAAGACCCACCTGCCCAGCACCCTCCTGCCGCTTACCCTTCCTCTAACCACGAAGGTCAGAGTTGGCTACTGTAATCCAATGGTTTTATGGGAATAAAACGGTTTGATTTGCCATCACTGCTTCATGGAGCATACAGGAAAATCTGCGACTGTAATCAAACGATTAAGATGTTAGTTAAAATAGGTACAAAAGATAAAATGTTCGGTAAAATGTCATCTAATTCAGCAGTTCCTAATGCTTCATTTTAAGTTTAATGTTTCAATCTAAATATTGGGAAGACTGTTTCCTTAAATAACTGGATCTAATTTTAAATGTGGGAGCTGTGTAGTAGACATGAATTGACCTTCCTTTCCCTCCTCGAGCCCCTACTACCTTTGGTTTACCTGTTGACAGGTTTTCCAATAACCCCACATCATCCCTGTCTGGTCCATTGTTTCTGTGAGGGGGGAGTTTGGTGGGCGGCTGCCGCCGGAGTGTAATACTCATTGGGACAGTCCTCTATCCTTTTGTGGCCTTGTGCTCCTGCTGTTATCCTCACGAATTCTGCAGGGCGACTTTTCCTTTTCCTTATGTTTCGTTTTTCTCCCTCTTCTCCTTTCCAATTATTTGCTGCAGACTTTTTGCCTGTTTTGACTATTCTTTTTGGCCTTCTTTTGATTTGTCGCCCAAGTTTTTGAGGCATACTCTTGCACCCGTTGAATTGTGGTAGCCACGTCGCGAGCGAGGATATGCTTTCATTGTCAATCTTTCTTTCGTCGCTGAACCTGATCTTGACAGACTGACGGTTCTTAAGGTGGTGTTTTTGAAGTGTGTACTCGTGACACACCCCTAGAGGGCCCCCGGCAAGATTGGCAACATGTCTCTTGTTGGGTGTCCTGCCTCTAATTGTGGCTGTGGGGGCACATTCGTGAATGAAGGTCTTTACTCTAGCTTTGTCACATTCAGCTTCTCTTCTACCTTCTCAAGCTCGTGGGAGTGGGCGACCAAGCCCCCGACTCAGATTGTTGGAAGACCGGGCTCTGTACGCTCCAGCTGCATTGTGCCCCGACCTTGCTCCTCCTTTGACCCTCCTTATTACTCCCTTTGACTCCACTTCCTCCTCTGTAGTTGGGTCGGGCCACAAGCCTACAGTGGGAACCGCCCCATCCACCGTTCTTGCTTGCTTTCTAACTTGCTGATATATTACCGTGATATCGAGTCTGAACATGCCATGAAAGTTGAAACTGGAGTTCAGGATCTTGGGGTACTTGAAATCTTAACGTATATGGCTGCTCCCCCTCCTTGTCTACCATGAGAAATGGTAGAAGTCGGTTTGATATTCGGCTAATAGTTCTGTTTTCTACATTCATCCTTGTTTCGTAAAGTGCAAAATTATCTAGTTTGTTCAGATAAGAGCACTTAAATAGCATATTCAGTTTTTTACTCTTAACTGTTCGTATAATATACCTTAGGTGTTTTATTTTGAAGCTCTTCTCCTTCCATGTACGTTTTGCCAATTAATCCCCCCCCCCCCACCAGCACAAAAGTTTACTGCCCCCTTCATGTCAATTCCCATACCACTAACAAGTGTAACCAAAAACAAACTCCTCCAACCATGTTTCCAACGAGTTGGCAGCCGCAACAACCCCAGTTCTAGATAAATGCACCCAATCCCAAGCATACATGCCATTTCTTTAAGTGTTCAGGTACCAATGAATGATATTGCATTTGATTTAAAATGTCAGGTCGGTAATTAAGTCCTCGACAACCATAAATTTCGAACTCCCTTACTTGGAAGAATGCCACATATGATTGGGAGTCATCCCTTGCTCCTAACTAATTATATGGCGGTCTTTAACCTCTGTATCAGTTCCTAACTCATCCTACAGCACTTCCACCTGCACTCATAAAAATGAGTTTCCATCTCCTTCCATATCATACTTGTTTACTATATCCCTGCTAAGTATACTATATTTACTACTATCCCTGGATAGTAAACCCTTAATTAACCTGTTCCTCCTCCTGACACAAGGCTCTATCCAAATACCTTGCCTGGGAATCTCCCACAACCAAAATTCACTTGGCTGCTACTTTTACTTGGTGAGCAGATTGAGGGACCGGCGCTCATTTTGTTGTCTTGCCTTTCAGGCAAACATATGGCTCCCTACAGTACTTTTAGCTCTTATGCTGTGTTGGAAGGAAGTTTTAGAACATGGGTAGGAAGCTTTGCCAGTCTCTTCTTAAGACCCCCTGTCCTTTACGACATTGAAAGGAAATGTCTCATCCTGCGTTTCGTCTTGACATTGTTTCAGCTGTCATACTTCCTCCTGTAGGAAATCTGTCTTAAAGATCTCCGCGTAGATTCATCAGTTCCTTAACTACACCTCTGCCACGCCGTGTGGGGGCTTCGTGGGCGGCTGCCGGAGTGTGATGCTCCTTGGGACAGTCCTCTGTCCTTTTCTAGCCTTCTGCTCCTGCTGCCGTCCTCTCCAATTCTCCTGGGCACCTTTTCCTTTTCCTTCTGTTTCGTTTTTCTCCCCCCTCTTCTCCTATCTGCTTGCCGTTTCCTGCCGACCTTTTGCTCGTTCTGGTTCTTCCCTTGGACTTCTTCTATTTTGACGCCCGGGTGCTTGAGGAGGCATACTCATGCACCCGTAGAACTGCAGTACCCGACGTAGAGAGCGAGGGAAACCTTTTATTGTCAATCCCCACTTCGTCACTGAACCCGATCTCGACGGACTGTCGGTTTCTTAAGGTGGCGTTTGTGGGGCGTATACTCACGACGCACCCCTAGGAGGCCCTGACAAGATCGGCGATAGCTTCTTGTTGGGTGTCATGCCTCTAATTGTGGCTCCATGGTGGGTGTGGGGGCACATTCGTGAATGAATTCTTCTTTTCGTCAAGATGATAACCCCTGTTTCGGCTGCTTCTGGCTTACCTTCTCAGGCTCGTGGGGTGGGCGACCAAGCCCCCGAGTCGGTCCGTATTGGAAGACCGGGCTCTGTAGCCTCCGCTGCATTGGGCCCCGACCTTGCTCCTCCTTTGGCCTCTCTGACTCCTTCCCCTGGCTCCCCTCCCTCCTCTGTGGTTGGGTAGAGCCCCAAGCCCCCAGTGGTGACTACCTCGTCCCCTGGCGCGGCTCCTTCTCTAGTTGTAACTACTGTGCCTTTTAACCCCTCTCTCTTGGGGGTTCTCACCGCTGTCCTCGTCACGGCCGCCCTCGCTCGATTCCTTCCAGTTCTGCTACCTATCAAGCCTTGTTTGGTCCCGCTTCGTGGGCCAAATATTTTGATCTTCTCCCTCTTGATTCTGCGCCTCCTGACGATTACTCCCTCCATCGGCATCTCATTGATTCCGTGGATGCCTCCATTACTTTCAACCCCACTCGTCTCGGTACACGTGTCGTTGCTGCTCCTTCTCAGGATGCTGCTTCCCGCTTGGCTGCCTTATCCTGCCTTGGCGAGACCCCCGTTCAGGTCTCGAAGAACGCTCAGTTGAATGCCAGTGTTGGCACTATTTTGCTCCCGCCCCATGTTGCGACCGGTGTTCGGGACCTGCGCGACTGCCACGACGATATTCGACATATCCTCGCTGCCCAGGGCCATTCTATTCTCCAGGTGGACACGTTTACTAGTCCCCCTCGTGGTAGTCGCCGTCAACCCCTCCGGGTTGTGAAGATTACCTTTGATGGTAGGACCCTTCCACCCTCTGTCATTCTTGCTGGTGCCAGGTGCTCTGTCCAGGAGTACATTCCTTCTCCTCGGCTCTGCAACAAGTGCTGGAGGTTTGGGCATGGTGCCCTCCGCTGCTCCGGGACTGTCTCTCTCTGTCCTTTGTGTGGTGGCGAAGGTCACTCTAAGTCGGAGTGCACTTCTCCCCAGGCTCGTTGCCTCAACTGCGGTGAGGCCCATCCTACCTTCTCCCGTGCGTGTGTCCATTACAAGCTTGAGGCAGCCGTCCTCAACCTGAAGCCCCGGGAGCGTTTATCTTTTCCTGAGGCGAGGCGCCAGGTTCGCCGGCTCCCGCCTTATGCTAATATCTCTTATGCTCGCATGTTGCGCTCTTCCTCTCCTCGTCCTTCCCGCCTTCCTCAGACTCGCAACCGTTTCCGGGCCTTGGACCCTGATGCGCCCACTGCCCCCTCCTCTGTTCCTTTGGGTTCTCTCCCGAAGGATCCTCCTCCTGGTCCTCTGTCTAGGGTTCCCCTTCCTTCTACCCGGTCTGTCGTGTCTTCTGTGTCTTCTTCCTCGTCCCCCTCCGATCCTCCTTCCCATCCTCTTCCTCCGTCTATCGGCTCTCCCCACTGCCTGTCGGTGCGGGCGGATGTCCATCGCTCTCCTACCGGCCGTCGTGTGTGCTCTCGTTCGGCTTCTCCTGTTGAGACACTGGAATCCGTTGCCCGGTACGTAGTTGCTGGGACACCGGTCTCTTTAAGTCAGAAGCGTAAGCCTGGCTCCTCTTCTTCCTCTTCCCCGGCGGGTAAGAAGGCTTCGCTTTCTTCCTCGGCTCCTTCTGGCTCTGTTGCTCCTTCCCCTCCCGTTTCAGTGCTTGCGCCCCCTGTTCCTGCTATGGAGGTTTCTTTGGCCCCTGCTTCCCTTTCGGTTGCTGCTCTTGCTGGGGTGCGCTCCCCTCTTTCTACTCTCCCTCCTCCTGCTGCTGTCCTTGACTGCTCCTCTCCGTTGTCTCCTCCTCTTCCTCCTCCTCAGGACCCTGCCCGCCCACCTCTGATCTGTTATCCCGTTTCCTTCCCTCCGTCTTTGCTCAGTTTACCCATGCCCCCTAACCCTGACTTTGCTGACCCTGATCCCGACCCTGATATTCTTTAACGTGCTCTGTTGCTCTTTCGCCTTTGTTTCTTCCTTGTTCTCTGTTTTTGTCCTTTCTCTTCTCGTCGTTGTCCATTCTTCAATGGAACGTTCGAGGTTATTACGCCAATTTCCTCGAACTCCAACTTCTGATTTCGCGGTTTTCGCCCCTTTGTGTCTGTCTCCAGGAGCCAATGCTTGGTGCTCGTCCTGGTCGTTTTCGTGGCTATTCCTTTCTCTCCCCCCCCCCCCAGCCATTGCTGGGGCTTC